ATTCAATTGTAATGACGGCGCGCGACGAGCCGGCGTTTTCCCTGATAATTAGGTAACCGAAGCCAGGCCTCGTTTGTTTATTTCAAGGATATCGATATTTTCTCGAAATTTGGTGTTTCTGTTGGAATGTTTTACCGTTTGTTTCGATTCGACATAATTTTGCCTCCCTTTTATTCGTTGATATGTACATATATCTATGAGTGATTCACTGTATGGAAACATTTTGTAAAGGTTCATATGGTTACTGATTTTACTCGGTGATAGTTCCTTAATAAAAATGGAATTTTATCACATTTATTCAGTGAACACCGAACATTATTAATCTTTTCTCTGTCAACTAAATTTCAAATCTTAGCCGCCATTTGAAATATTAGCTTGTCGCATAATTAATGTCAATTTTCAACTGCAGAATTCGAACGACTATAATTTATCTGAAACTGAAAGTATTTAATCGATGAAAGATCCATTTAAATCGACAGATTCTTAGTAACCAGTCACAAGTTTCTTGATCCACTGTTTAACGATCGTTACATACACAAAATGAAGCGCGTTGTAAAAAGATATTTTTTTAAGCTAATTTTTTTAACGAATAATCCTAAATAATTTTTTCTTCGCATAATAAGTTTAGATTTGAAAAGCCAAAACATGAGAATAATGTCATGTGTATGTATCTCTGTGTGCTATTGACTCCAGCGTCTCTCCGTTTACTTATGTACATCCGCGTGCCACAGAAATTTCGAGGAGTCGTGGATCTTTCGACGATCAAGGTTCCGCCTAGCCGGCGAAATGTAGCACATCCGTGGGTCTGCATGAAAATCGAGGCAATCATGCGGTAGAAGCCGGAACGCGAGGCTGGTCAGAACCACGGACGCCTAATCAGCCGATTGTACGGAGGAAATACCGTTCCCATGGAATGTTAATGCGATCTTCACCGACGATCCTTAGAAACCGCGGGTTCCACTTACAAGCCAAGGCCAACCGGAGCGCCAAGACAACCCATTTCGCCGCCGCACGCACATATTGTTACGCAATAACGCCGTTCTAGAGGCTTTCCTCGATTATCCCTGAGGAACAGCTCAGCAACAACCCTGGACGACGAGACTTCTTCCTCGTCCAAAGGGTCCTTCCAGTTTTAATGGAGACATTTCGCCTCCTACCGATCTCTTCCGCGTTTCAGCCGTGTACCACGATCCCTCTTCAACGCCACGAGATTATTGCACGTTAATATCCGTTCGTTTAAAAAAAAAAGTTCTAAAGTTTTGAGTAACACTCGACCACGAACGGTATCGTAGTTCCTTAAGGTCATTCAACACTTTTAGGTATGTACATACAATAGAGGCACGCTTCCTGGACCATCAATTTTGATAAATGACTGATTAAGATTAGATCCCGTGATTAGAAGCTGTATTCTGCAGCGTTTGGAGACTTTTACAGAATGTTCTGTTCGCGAACTTAACCGTAGACTCTACACTATGGGAATGCTGTGGGTATAGATTATCGTAGGTGATAACTTCCCAACCATAATTTCAATAGATGTCGGCTGGAAGGCTAGCGTTGGCGTTGGGTGCATGGTTTATCAATTAAGTTCCCGGATCATACGCTTTGAGGCCGCGCCACCGTATCATTACATCTCGAATATTTTTTTCTTTTAAATATCAAACCGTTCGTTACATTGTTGATAAGTCCAGCGTTAATAATACTTCTGTAGCCTGCCGTCGAAAGCGATGAAAGGGATCAGGAAGCAATCGTGCCCGTAAGGTAAGTTAAACAAAAATCGACGATATCCAGGAAGCGAAGATAGGGAATCGAAGATGTTCCAGGGATTTTTCAATCTGCGGCTGGATTCGTTTTCGCGGAGAGATCGAATCATTGCTCCTCTTTCCACCGTCCTTCCTCCTCCCCCGTTTCCCCGGACACGGACGCGTAGCTATGCCACTTTTGATACGGTTCCGCCTGGGCAAGGACCTCTCGACCCTGCGCCTCGGGTCGGAGCAGCCGCGCTCTCGAGGGTCGTCGTGAGGCGACCAGCTGGCAAAGACCTTTCGCTTTGGACTATTTCAAGGTGTGCACGTTGTGTTGCACGTTCAACCGTGCCCGATCGCCTCACGAATGCAGGTCTTGACGCGGCGTCGTCGTCGGCGTGATATCGCATAAACGTGCGTTCTCCAGCGGCTGGTCTCTATCGAAATCGGAAGAAGCCCACGGGGTCTGACATCGGGGCGCCCTTCCGCATACCTCAGGGGCGCCGATATTTCACGTGGCTAATGGATTGAAATACCTTTAAACCGTTGTGTCCCCTTCGTCTACCCTATCGTCCCACGTAATTACCGGGCGAAGCGGTGAAATAAGGCTTTTCCCGCGCGTTCAACCGTATCAAACGGCCCCGCCGCGGGCAGCACGCGTCTAATGGTCCGTTGTCGCAGCTCGTTTTCACCCCAACGCATTGTTACTTGTCACGATTATGACGCGGCTGTTTATTAATTAACCTTTATACGGCCGAGTACCTGCCGCGTGCTGGTTATCCGGTAACTTTATAACGGTTCGCGGGCCAGCGTTGTTTGTAACGTTGGGCGGTGTGATTCATAAATTTGTTCGGGTACAGAGGAGGATGGCGTAGGTGTAGTCGTTTGGTTGGATTTCGTGCTGGCGTTATGGTTTGTATTAGAGTTCGGTGTAGGCGAGAACTATGAAAATAGAGATGAGTATTTTAGAAAGAAACTTTGTTGGTTTGTTTAATTCTCGTGCACTGTTCGGGTCCATTTCACACGAGATCGATGTTTGATTTTCAATTTTATATTTCATTGTCGAAGTTTGTCAGTTATTTTTTTACCGATAGCTTACATACATATGTTATCATAGACGAGTGTATTTTTTATATTCGATTTTAGTTCTGGGAATTCTCAATTTAGTTCAGAGAATAGTTATCTAATAATTTATGGAAAAATGCGAGAGGTTTCTATTTTTCTATAATTAATGGAACTAGTTGGTAACTCTTTACGAATAGTATTCGTTAACCAACTGACATTATCTAGATGAAAAATGTCAGGTTCACCAAAAGGTAATCCAATCTTTTTGAATGAAACAATAAAATAAAATCAAATTCAGTATGTCTTTCCGAAATATTTTTCGACGCGGATTTACTCAGGCGGTTCCATACACGGTGGTATATATGTGTATCTTTTCTATTTAGCTTTTATTCGATTCCGTTTAGCTTTGAATATTTGAAGACTTTAAAAATTTCACCGATCGACAAAGGGAATCGTAGATGCGAACGTTTTACCTTTTTACGCGTGCGTTAAAGTGGACCGATAGCGTGTAATTGAAACGGCCGAGCTATCCTCTATACTCTTCCTATTCGTTCCTTTCTTGTTTGTATTTTTCATAGTCTGGTGTTCCTAGTCGTCTTTAAAAACACTTCATCCACCACCTGCCGGAAATGTTTGCGGAAAGCACCACGTCACTTCGTGTCTTCGCTCCGTGGGTGTACCGAGATGACTGGATGAATGAACCAACGAAGCACAAAAGTGGAGAGATACGCAAGTTGGAACGGCAATTATGCTTCCAAACAGTTCAATGGAACCTTTACAGAGGCTGGATAACAAACGTCACATATGGGAATTCTATTAAGAGATCATTGACATAACCTTGCAACAAAGAATGTCTATTCGAAAACGTAGTAACAAAGAACAGAACTGAGTAATTCTTCAGAACAAACAAAATCGTTATTAAAATCGTTGAAATAAAAGTTTGTAACTTAGTTGACGTTTATACCTACTTTCCATTGATTTCCGTTCCTCTATGTGACGTGCCTACCGGAAACAGCGCTAAAGATAGTCATTAAGCTCCAGAGCTCATGTTGAACAGAGCCGATTCAAAGTACGTATGTATAATATCGTTTAAAGTATTACTGCCTCGCTATTTTGATGTTAGTCCCAGCCACTTCTGAACAACCGTAATGACAACGTGTTCGTACACTTTATATCGTTTGATTACGCGTTGTAACCCATCACTGACAATGAAACGAGCAAACTACAACCCTGACAAGTTTCGAGCCGTGTACTTAACGCGATACGCGAAGTACGGATGCATTTGCATGAACGCATCGAAAATTCCTGGTAGACGGCAGCCAATGACCTCGATCACGAATTAAGAATGAACATTCATGGATCGACATGGTCTCGGTGTACAAAAACGATTTCCTGGCCCACTGTTTGATCCACGACGGAATTTCGACGGTGACGGTGAATCAGCGCAGTATTCGTCAACCTTTCCCATACTTTCCACACTTTTTATAACCGGGTTTCCGCGCAGTGACGCGGACATAATTGGCCTGACGACGATTTAAAACGTGCCTGCCTGCCGCGGCGCCTCGAACCGGACGTGGACCGACAATGACGGGAAAATATCGCTGGGCGGGCACAGAGTCAGGGGAATGGAAAACGTATGAAAAATATTTAAATGGAATCGATGCGGTGTGTTCGATACAGGGGGCTTGAGGGGATGAAAGAAACTGGTTGAATAGTCGTCTCCTAAAACGCCAAACATACGAGGAATCAAGGTGGCCCAGAGCTATTTCTCTGCAACTTTTCCAGAAGGATAGCTCGTTCCCTTTGGTGTTCCAGCTCGCATGAAACGTCGGAGACGGCCGCTTCATGACCGAGAAACACTCGAGAGTCTATAGGAGCGTGATGTAACGTCCTCTCTCGATCGAAGAATCCAATAACTGGAAAACGCACCGAACCGTGTAGAGCTGCCTTCGATTCTCGAAGACTTACTCGAGGGAGACGCCGTCGACGACGACTACGGGAGAACCGTCTTCCGTGCTCCGTATGTCGACCCGCGACGAATCTCGGGGACGATACTCGCATCTTTCCCTTCGACGGATATCGTGTCCCGCGACCAGGAAGAAAGAGGAATCAAGTTCCCGGAAAACGACTTGTTCCCCGTGAATAGGATTTCGGTATGCAACGGACGAAAAATAACTGTACGGATCTACTCACCGGCACAGGAAGTCCCTTTCGCCTAAACAGAGCTCCAGACAGTGCTGCCGCGAAGAGGCGGTCATCGTTCGGCGCGTGTGGCCCTGCAACCGATGTCCCTGGACCCTGTCGATGCACCAGGCACGCTCGCATGGCTTCACGGCCAGGCAGCTCTTCTGGGCGTAGATCGTGAACACTGGGAATTGGGATTGCGATAGAGCACCTGTAGCAGAAAACGTTAATGACGAATTAATGTATGTACGTTGAAGTCTTGCGTGAATGGACGACGATGTCATAGACATTGAGGGTAGGTACTTTCTCGAGCTAGCAAATACAATGCTCAGAGTAATTAGGGGTTCGTGTATTGCAGTCGCTCTGCTTGTCAGTACGACGTATAAATCTCTGGAAAGTTTTTATAAAAATATAACTAGGTTCTGATAGTATTAGTATTGTACGAAAGAGACATGTAATTGTTTTGTTTCTTTCGCTTTGTGGGTGCAACTGGATCGCCTACATTTGCGATCCTCTAATTTTCTCGAAAATAATTCATTAGTACAGAAACTTATTATAGGTACATGGGACCTAATGGATTTATCACATGTACGGTTCATCTCGATCATTTTTATTTAGAATTAATATGAACAGATCGTTTTAAACTAAATGGATAATTTAACCTGAAAACTCTTTAAAAGTAGATACAGTCGCGATGGAACGAAAGACCGTCAAGAGAAATATAATTCGAAATGTAAACTTCATCTAACACTTCGACGAACACAATCGACTACTTTTATATTCTGGTTCATTCTTCATGTAGGACGGCAAGTCACTCCGCTCGAAAATTACTTCGTCAAGGGTTAGGAATTTCCACGATACGGTATCAAACCCGACCCTCGCCCTAATTCAATGAACCAATGTTGAATTGACGCTGATCAATGCTTACTATTCTCCCGGCGAACGAAAGTGTCTCGAGCGCGGCTGCTCGTTATTCTTACCCTGTCGATCCACGGGGGCTGAGAGGAGCCCGCTAAGTGGCGGAATAATTTCCCCGCCCTAATGTCGTTGCCGCGTCATCTCCCTTTGCGAAAATCATAATTAATCTCGGCAGAGTTACGGTCGTTTCGAAGGGACGATGAGGGGGGTGGGGCGGAGCAAGGCTTGCGATCGTGATCCTCTGAAAAGTTTTTCGACGTAAGACATAGGGGACGAACGAGTAACGAGGGCTCGTCAAATGACGGAATCCACCAGGAGGCGTTAAAGATATTCAATTACCCCCTACCGGAGCCCTGGAACCTTTCGCGGGCTAATGTCTGTAACTAATTTTAATGATTGGAGGCTGGCGACCGCAGCCGCGACCGCAACGCAAATGGACGTCTCTTCCTTTTGCGGCTTCGACGCGATCCGCGATGTGGTATCTTTCGCGGAACGCCAGACAGTAGGAAGATGTTCCTCGTTACGGGCTGAGGGGTAAGCGCATTACAGTAATCAGTGGCTACTTCCGGGGATCTACATGTAGAAGACAGGTACCACTTACTCGTTATAATGTTACCGCATTACGAGATAATAGAGCATCGTCGGATCGTAAGCACTTTGCAGGTACGGGATAGAGTTTTATCGGAAGGCTGGGCAGCTTCCTCTGATTCTAGTATTGTCCCAGACGATACTAGTGAACTTCATTGTCATGTTCCTTTGCTCGACAATCATGTTCACTGTGCCTTGTATATACATATAGGGGAAAGTGCTTGGACAATATCTAACCCAATAGGGATCACCTCAAATTGAGTTTGACGGTGTGGAGCTTTTTTTCCAAGAGATAACGACTTTTCGGATTGGTAGTTCTAGCCTCGTTTTGTGTCTACCATTTGACGAAGATTTAGGAGGCAAGGCTCATCGAAAGGGAGTTCTTGCTCCCTAGAGTACTGACGAAAGGACCCTTGAACATTTTTGGTGATTTAGAGAGATGTTGAACGACGTATTGATGTGACAACCACTAATGAAACATAGGGCATTGTTTAGTCTTAGCTATGAATTGGTAATATTTTCTTGATAAAAGTAAAACTACGACATTGTGTTAATACCTTTCCATAATAACATTATGATACATCTTGCAGTCATCAAATTATATGCTATTAACAACTAAATGAATTAGGATCTCAGAATAAACGTAAGATATCCAAATGTATGATTACGTGATTACCGTCTAAACAAGTAATTCTTAATAATCATGCATTTGATGGTACATTTGTCCTAATCGCAATCACATTTCATGAAAATATCGTGTACTATACAATTTTTACAACGAAGCGTGTATTTAATAGGACAAAGAACTTTTTCGTCGAATAAGGTTTAAATAGGAAACGAGAAGTTTCCGTTCTCAGTTTTTAACTATACGAGAAAATTACAGTAACAGATCTCTTGCACGCGAGGAAGAGGAAACCCTCGAGAAGTTAAAGGACAGGATCGTCTAAATTATACCTTCGTTCGTGATCCTTCTCGCGTCAGAGACTCATCTGTGATCTGTGACAGGGGGCCAATTAGAAACACGTAAAATTGTTATTACGTTTGCCATGAAATATAATTCATTGATTATCAAGCGGGACCGAGTAATGCGAAAGTGATCCCGACGAGCAATTACGGGACCAATCGATTCTGTAATTCCACGTAGGAGAACGTATCAGTTATGTGTATATCCGTACGGCGGAAGGAAGCGTGATACATAGGCCGTCGTATCGACCGCTGTTATCATTCCGTGTTTTTTACCGTTCGTTTAACAAGCTCTCTTCTGCGTCGCTCGTTCCGCCCGTGAAAAATATCGTTCCCGCACACAGAACATCGCGTGCTGCTGTTGGAATACATATCTGACCGACCGAATGCGTGACAAATTTCTGAAGAGAAATTCCTCTCGGTCCCATTGACGTAGCAATTTCCACGCGAAACTGACTTTCTAGTTAGCGCTTCATTGGCAGATTCGTGCAAAAAAAAGCTTGACTTACTACGAAATGCTTTTAGAAAAATATCGTTCTTCTATTTGAAATTTTTCGAATATACTTTCTGAAGACTTCGATGTACTTTAAATTATATTCTGATTTCCGTGAACTTTATTAGGTTAGTCCTCACGAAGCGTCAGTTTTGTTGCACTATAATTATGAGTTTCTAGTTATAGTTTCGACAAGAAATCGAGATTGCTTAGAATAAATGTTAACTAGACTGCGAATATTTATGCAAATTCAGAATTTTATGGATTCATTTATCGAACTGAAATTAGGGTAGACATCCATTTCCTTTATTAAAAGTGTTAATAGATCCGAAATAGAGTAAAATTTATAGTAATCTGTACTAAAATTGTTACTACATTGTGTTTCGCACAAGATTAGGCACAATTTTATTCGAATAGTGAAAGACTGCACAGGTATGTAAGATCGTCATCTTGACTTTCAAACAATTAAGATTAAATAATTATTTTCCAAGTGTCTACTCGTGCTATACCTCATCCAACGAGTCAGTCAAATAGCCGAAACATTCGCGTTCTAAGCCCAACTATTCTCTAGCAACTGTCTCTGTTCCTGTCCCACCTGAATGGCCATCAACTCCCTTTGTCCATAGTAACTGACGTGACTCGTTGGAGTAGGTATAGAAGTATTCTTTTATGATAAACATAAAAATGTCCACGTTCAATCGCTTAAAACTACGAAGGACATTTCCATCTATTATTCCTTATTCGAAACTCTTTATCCACGCAATGAACTAGCCCATCTTCGTTTAACATTTGAGAAAGACGAATAACATCCGCAGTGAAGAGGATTAATTTCAAACAATCTCCAGACACCCGAGAAATTGCGCCCGCTTATCAATGAAAGACCGTGTGTACCGATTGTCGAACGTGCCCGAGATAAACCAGTGAATCGAACCCGAAACTGTCAATCCATGGGAAAGCACGTTATCCTGGCACGGTTCCAGCTCACCCATCCTCCACGGTTCCTTTCTGTTTTCATTTCTCGAACGGCTGCATGTAGATCGCCGGCGAAGATCCGCGCGCGCGCACGCCCGTAAATCTTTTATTTTCGGCTCGGTATGCAGTACGTATATGACGTTAACGTGGTGGGCCACGGAAAGTCGGTTGCAGGGAGGGGATATATCCCTCGTAAACCGGACGTCTCCACATTTCGCAAGTAGGTAGTACCGGTCTCATTTTCCATCAACGAGTCGACGCCTTATCGTTCCCGGGGCGGTTTCCAGGTCGCAAAAATCTTCCTTCCCTACCCCCTTGGGCCCCGGACGTGCGCCTTTGTACTTAAGAGAAACGAAACAGCTTTGTATCGCCATAAATCTGACGAGAGATTTATCAGCCGCCCTGTGTGTATCGTTTCAACGGGGCACCCACGGTACATCATTTCATAGTAAAACACACGGGGGATTCGCCTCCCTCCCGCCCTCCCCACCGTTTGCGCGTCGACGACTATCGAGGAAGTACGGAAAGGGAACCACCAGCACCGGTTCCACTGTGTGTACGGTTGTCACGACGTCGAGGGAAAATGTGGAACGACCTAGGGCGCATCTGCAACGGCGGCGGCGGTATTACGGGGACGGGGACCGCACAAAATGATGCAAGTGAACCGCGCGCGCCTGTGTGTACCCGGTATGTACCGGCGGAACAGTTCGATTTCTGATATACGAGGCACATTTAGATACGATTCAGCCTCAAGTGGCATTGGCAACGTACCACCGCTAGCTGTCCCAGCGACTCCTTCGTCGCGGTGAACTTGATGTATAATCTCGGTTTTCTTTATCTCCCTCCCCCTCCCCCACACCCTTCCCTTCATCTTCTCCACAGGTTCGTTCCCTTTTCCTTGCTTTTTCTGCGATCCGCCGCGCTCTTATTTCTCTCTGTCTTCTTCTTCGTTGCTCTGACTTCCTTCCCCCGAACAAAGGCAATGAAATTCCATCCATGCGCGGACTTTCCGCGCTCGGTCCCGAGATTCTTATACAAGGTGGTCCGATAGAAGTTGCCCATTGTCTTTTAGCGGCTCGAGGAGTATCGTTGTGTCGATGGTCGAAATGATAGGAATGATATTATTAATGGTGTTCTCGGGTATACGTGAGAAATGTGAAAAGTTTCTATTGTTGAGCGGAGTTTTTTTGAGTATTTCTAATTTTCGGTATATTTTGTTTGCTTTACTTTGACGCCATGTACGAGAGCCTTCATGGTAACGTCTGAGGAATATAAAC